TCTTTTTAAGGTTATTTAAGTTTCTTTCTTATTCTAGGATTTTAGACAGTTTAAGATTATATGAATTTCTTTTTATTGTTATTGTATTTCTATACGTCATCCATGACTGTCCTCGGATGTTATTAAAGTAAATTTAAAGACATTTTTGAAGTTTCTCAAACGTTTCAAATGAGCGTAGAAGGTTCTGCAATGTATTTTCCTTAATACAGCCAAATCTGTACAAATAGGCTTAGGTTACATAGCTAGCTTCTACGAAATTTGTTGCATGTTGGCAAAACTTGGTAAACATACTTTTCACAATTTCTCTTAAAATTTAGGCGGATTTAGTTTTAGACTAATAATACCCATATATTTGTGTGCAAACTGGAAGGGGTACATTTTATTTTAGATAAAATCCTTATTCTTTGGCTTTTTCAGCCGAATTTCAGAGGACAATTTTAAAACTAAAGTTTGTTCGTTGTCCTAACTAACATAGACACAGCTGTCAATTATTCTAGATTAACGTCTTGTAGCTTCAAGGCTTCAATAGTAAACATGTTAAAGGCAACATCATTGCAAGTTCCTTCCGATTTAAATGGGATGAATATGAAAAATAACCTTGAATATTTATCTGACGATTTTATAGTAAACACTGTAGAAACCGCTATATTAACCCTAATAGTAACCCCTACAGAAACCTCTATACTAACCTATAGAAACCCTTATAGTAACCCCTGTCTTAGGCATACTTAAAATGATATCGTTTGGAATGGGGATCGTATTTTATTTTAATGGATAAACCACCACAGATTTGACATTCGTGATTTTGTTTTAAAAATAAGACATCTTTTAAAAGTTAGGTTTGTCTTGAAATTGTGTTTCTGGGCTGTGCTCGGCGTGAGTATCGATTGAAAAGCTATTGGCCCCATATTCAATGGTCATTATAAACCAGTATTTTTATAACAGCAATTAAAAAAATAAATTATGTCGTATTTTTGTGAGGATTTTATACAGAGCCATAGGTTTACGTGTACACTGGTAAGGCTTTTTTTCCCTGTTGATTACGCTCCGAACAAAGCCGGGTATATTGGCTAGTCACAAAAAATACTTCTTTAGGCAGTGGCGATATGTTTAATAGGTGCGCAAACAAAATTCCCCCCCCCCCCCGCAAAAAACAAAAAAAAAAAAAAACACAAAAAAAACCCCAAAAAAAAAGAAAAATATTGGATAATTAAAAAAAATACTTTTTTAGGCAGGGGCGATATTTTTAAAAGGTGCACAAACAAAATTCCCCCCCCCCCCCGCAAAAAACAAAACAAAACAACAACACAAAAAAAAACTCTAAAAAAAAGTAAAATAATACAAACAAACGAATTTGGATTCTTATAAAATCCGTTACTTGATTGAACGTTTTTTCAAGAGATTTGAGTAGCTGGAAAGTTGACCTGTTGCCGCCGCCATTGTTTGGCGGGTTATTTCGAGTGGTTTTATAAACTCTTTCAAAGCTATTTCATTCTCAATCGTGCCATGAACTTTTTATCTAAGTAGCGACTGAGACTATGACACATGATCTCATGTTTACATCTGGGAATTATGTGGGCACTCGAAAGCGCATTGAAAAAAATAAAAAAAGAAAATTAAACGTCGAAACCTTTCATATTGGACCATGTGACTCGCACATGTTCAGGGTTATGTGAGTGGAAAAGTTTGGTAGGTGGGCAATAACCTAAGTACTGTCCCATTTCATCGACCTACTTTGGTCGTATCCACTGAACACCGCGAACTCTGTGCTTTTCTTTACCTTTATGGCCACGGCACATCTAGCATCTGTTCGCGGCACCCCGGTTGCGGAGCTCTGGGGTAGATGATGTTGTTTTAAAACAAAGTCAACAAACTGGTGCGCTCGCTTGTAAAAAAGATGGACATTCTTTTATTTGTCGAGATGGAGATTGGAGATAAAAACATGATTGTCAACAACAGGAAACGAAATGAGAGTATGTTTCACTCGTACCCATGACTTATTTATATCAAGAAAGTAAACTGCATAAATCAATAATATCCGAAATGATGGTTGGAATGTGTAAAATAAGTGATCAATTATAAGTTTAGTAAAACATATCAAGCAAAGAGTTTCCCAAAAGTATATAAAAAGCTTTGTACCAAGATGGTCCCAAGATGTGTAGCCAGGGGCGTAACGGGCACCTGGGTTAAAGTGGGGTGCGATACAACCAGGGGGCAAGGTCAAACGATATATAAAAGTTTATATTTTACCCGTCCATGGATAGATTTAAAACGCTTTCAATCTCCCATATTACCACTGTTATGTTGTATTGGCCCCAAGACCCCCCCCCTCTGTTAGTTACTCCCCTACACGTAGACCTGGGTTTGTTTGATTGCTCTTGCGATAAAACCGTGATGAAGAGTCGAATCGAGAACTTTTAGAATTTCACTGATATGTATCTTCAAATAGTCTATCAATAACAATTGGCACCAACAAACGTTATTTCAAAACAGATTAATAAGACACGAACAAATTGTGTCAATATAACACTATAAGGAAGCTTTAATAATAATTATACATTATACATAAGTCAACGTTTCGGCACATGCCTTCATCAGTACAAACAAACAAAACATATTTAAATAAGTATAAATTAAATATATTGTAAAAATACGCATGTTCGTGTCTTATTAATCTATTTTGAAGCTTTATTGCAGTCCAACACTTTTTATAATCAGTTATTTCAAAACACAATTCTCAAAGCATAAAGTCTTGCGATGTTTCTGCAAGAAATAACAAATATAATAAAGGTAAATTCCTTAAAAACTTCAATATAATTGTACACATTCAAAAAGAAACCGTTAAATATTGGCTTCTTTGTCTATCCTTCCTGGTTATCCAGTCAACATGTTAATCAGGAATTAAGAATTCAAGATGATTTGTTTTCTCATTGGAGAAATTTGAGAGATCAATGAATATTATGATTTTCACGAAAACACACATGAATAGCAATATAATATAAGTAAGTTCAATTATAGATTAATATTGATGTTAAATTAACGAAATTCCCCCCCCCCCCCTTTTTTTTTNTTAAATACACCCCCTCTAAATAAATTAAATAACACCTCCAATAAATAATTTAAATACACCCCCTCTAAATAAATTAAATAACACCTCCAATAAATAATTTAAATACACCCCCTCTAAATAAATTAAATAACACCTCCAATAAATAATTTAAATACACCCCCTCTAAATAAATTAAATAACACCTCCAATAAATAATTTAAATACACCCCCTCTAAATAAATTAAATAACACCTCCAATAAATAATTTAAATACACCCCCTCTAAATAAATTAAATAACACCTCCAATAAATAATTTAAATACACCCCCTCTAAATAAATTAAATAACACCTCCAATAAATAATTTAAATACACCCCCTCTAAATAAATTAAATAACACCTCCAATAAATAATTTAAATACACCCCCTCTAAATAAATTAAATAACACCTCCAATAAATAATTTAAATACACCCCCTCTAAATAAATTAAATAACACCTCCAAAAAAAAATATTTAAATACACCCCCTCTAAATAAATTAAATAACACCTTCAATAAATAAATTAAATAACACCTCCAATAAAAAAAATTAAATACACCCCCTCTAAATAAATAAAATAACACCTTCAATAAATAAATTAAATAACACCTCCAATAAAAAAAATTAAATACACCCCCTCTAAATAAATTAAATAACACCTCCAATAAATAATTTAAATACACCCCTAATAAATAAATAATTTAAATATTTATCCTTAAAAAATAATTTAAATACACGCCAGTAATAATTAAATACAGCCCAGTAATAATTAAATACACCCCCAATAAATAATTTCAATACACCCCCGATAAACAATTGAAATAAGCAGCCGTTCAATAATTTGAATACGCCCCCCTCACAAAATTGAATCGACCCCGCCACAGCAGTAATATCAAGACATCTTCTCTTCTCGCCTAATAAGTTAAATACACCAGTATGGATAATACATTTCCGGCACCCTGGCTAGAGCCCCTGTTCAAAGCTTAAATCAGTTTTAGTTTGCTAGATGTTGACATTTGATTTAGCCACGGGACGACAGTGCTGACCTTGTCATGAGGGAGCCATAGCGTGACCTTGTCACAGGAAAACTGTGTGTGTCCTTGTTACGGTAACACAGCGGAAGACCTTGTCGGCCGTTTCTGGCCCGTGCAGCAACAAGATGCGCCTTGACGTGCGTCATGTATTGGGACATGTCACAAATTGTATTGACTGTTGGCCGCCCAGGAACTGATTCATCTCCGACGGCTGTGATATAAGAAGTGGCTGGAGTGTTTCGCACCGGCGCACAAACACATCACCCTCAACTATAAAATCCATTCAATCCCCGACTTGTCTCGTACTCGGTGACATCTGTTCCTCCCTACCCCTTAGATACGCCTTTGCTTCAGTTCTTTTGGGTGTAGTTTTAAGAGCTATCAGTACCTGAGAATTGGCAAACATATAATACCTGCAAGTGTCTGCCATCTTGAAAGGATCGGACATTTATGCCTACTGACCGCCAAGGAAATTTTATACAGAGAGAAGGTATTTACACAAGAAGGCACACAGTTGATTTAAATAATGTAACAATAACAATTTACATTCGATATCAAACAACAGCAGGAACCACTTGGCAAGAATTCAACATGTTATTAAACGAGGGAGACATTGTCTATGCTATGAAGCTGATTTAGTAATCGTCCTTTTAATTGGGTGCGATTACCTCATGTTTGCTGGTATTCGATATAGCTAACTCGTGCTTGAGTTTCTGGACTTCTGGTCATCATCCATTAACGTCAGAGCCGTTGTTTGAGTTTTGGCTCCCTGCCATTCGTTCAAAGTTCAACGCTATTCTTTCACACAACATCTTTGGGCCCTTAACATTTCCGAGGACCCCCCCCCCCTCCACCCCCTCCTGCAATGACAGGCGTTTCAGGGCCAGCGCAGCGGCTATGATTAACGTAAATACTCTCAAATAGCAATTTATCCTTTCCCATAATCTGGCTTGGACTTAATTAAGAAACATGTCAAAATCATTGGCATCCCATTGGATGATATTTCAAAATCATTAGCAATCCATTGGATGATATGTCGAAATCATTTGCAGTCCATTGGATGATATGTCGAACTCATTGGCAGTCCATTGGATGATATGTCGAACTCATTGGCAGTCCATTGGATGATATGTCGAACTCATTGGCAGTCCATTGGATGATATGTCGAACTCATTGGCACTCCATTGGATGATATGTCGAACTCATTGGCAATCCATTGGATGATATGTCGAACTCATTGGCAGTCCAAAGGATATGTTGAATAAAAATGATAAACAAAAATAAAAGAAAAAAATGAGGTAAGAAGATAAACCCATGTTCCAATTAAGCCTCACCAGCGTCATCGCTCCAGTACGATGTACGATCAGACCAAACCCTGGGGTTGTATGCCAGGGGCAGAGCTTGGCTCGGCTCAGGGCTCAGTCGTGTGTATCCTTAACTGGGCAGACTCACGCGGACTGTCCTCGCGAGCTTTCCTCAAGGTCGGCTTTCTCTCCGAGAGATCTGCTTCTGAAAATCGAAAGTGCGGGTCTGTCCGGGAGAGCTGGTCACGGCGGCCAGGATACACCGGATCAGGAATATAGATGACGTCTTGGGTACCCAGCTCGCGCAATCGGTCATCGTTGTCCGGTAACAGAGTGTGGTTTCTGTTGTATGCGGAGGAGGTCCGCCTGTCGCGGTGGATTTCATTTCCGGAGAGGGCCAGTCGAAGTGGGTCGGGACCCGACCATGGTGTAGAGTTGTCTTCAAACTCGGAGGTGACAAAGTTGCTCTGTTCGTCCGCAGCTTGCTTTCTGATGGGAATATATAGACACACAATTATATATATACCTTTTTACATCTATATATTTGTGTCGTATAAATATGTTCATTATATTTTAACTCACATACCATTTGGATCATATCATTGATTTCCTTCGTTGACCAATTGTTGATGTCAATGTTAAAGCCAATAAGAGATATGTATAAATAAAACCCAAGAGTGGATGGCTATCAATGTCTTTGCAATCTTAGTTACTACAAACTTTTAGCCAAACTCACCTGCGTCTCCTGCACCGTATGATGGTCAACGTCAGAATAACAGCCACTATGATTGCCGCCAACCCGACGCTAACGCCCAGAGCAATGATTTCAGTGGATCCCAGTGACAGCCTCTCCTGGACTATAGAGCAGTTGGGACCGCTGTATACGTACTTTTCACTCTGTTTGCATCTGTAACAGACACACCATTATAAACATGATTAAAAAAAAAAACAACGACATTAGGATAGGACGTTACGTCCACTGAAATGGTGCTGTTGGTTTCTTTCAGGCCATTTCATCGGGGTGGGGGGCATTTATGGCGCTTGGGGGTGGGAGGGGGCAAGAGATCTCTATCAGTGCCAAAATTAGCCATAATGGCACCCAAAGCAGGCTCCTGCACCGAATGTGATGAGAGCGGTCTGGGTTGGGTGGGGTTACTCAATGTGGTGAGAGGGGTTTGTGGCGGGTGGGGCGACGAATGTGTTGAAAGGGATCTGGGATGAGTGGTTGATCGAATGTCGTATTAGTTGTCGGGGGGTTTGAGGAACCGAATATTTTGAGAGGGGTCTGGTTTATAACCTGTGATGCACCCTCCTTGCCCTACCTAATTTTCTGTTTCGGTTTAATCCTGAAGTGTCAAAGTGTCCTCGTTTTATAGCCATTTTCATTGTTTCTATAGAATAGTAGTTACTATCCTAGTGTCTCATTTGTATTTACTTAGTTTACATGTTTTAATAATTGTAAAGCGCTTAGAGCTTTATGATAAGCGCTATATAAAAATGCCTAAATAAATAAATAAATAAATAAGGGGGCACGGAATTTGGTAAAACAGTTCTGATGTTGGTGGGGCACTGAATGTTATGAAATGGTTCTAGGGGTGGGTGTCGAGAGGGCCTGGGGATCGATCGAGTACCGACTGTGTTGATAGGTGTCTGGGGGACTGGTGGGGCATACAATATAAGATACTTTAAAATGCGGCGATGAATTTTGGCGCATACCTGAATGGATTTCTGTAAACATTTGCATTTATTGGGAGTGATGCCCGACAGAACAACTAACCTCAGTTTACTGAAACTTAAAGCTGCATTCTGTACTTAAATTTATAAGAGTTGTCAAATACCGACTATTCAGACTGTTAAACGGATATGTTTTATCGATACTTTCCAACTGTAGCGAACATATAAGTTAAAATGGCACGGTCCGCCACAGTTAGAGTATGTGCTGTAGTGTAGTTGGAACATTACTTGGATTTTTTATATTTTTTTATATTTGAAGTCCTTTTCTCTATCTTGTCGCATCTTCATCTTGTAGAGCGTTTTTCTATGTTTTGAGTGATTAATTTTGACACACGTGACATTTTAAGAGTTGTTCCGTGCAGTGTTTACCCGGCGAACGACTGGCAAAGAATACTTGGGTTGGCGTAGGTGTATTGACAATTTCGCTCCAATGAACATGGGTTCACATCTACTGTTTGGTTCTATGCCTAGGTAAAGTGTTGAGTCACTTTAGCCGAGATTTTGTAAGCATTCGATGCTTAAAACATAAATACTTAAACTTTTGTCGATAATTTAAAGATACAATTTTAATTTTAAAAAAGGAGAAACTAATTTTAAAAATTAATTTTTAAAATTAGTTTCTCCTTTTTTAAAATTAATTAATTAAATTAATTTTTTAAAATAACACTTAACTAATATAATTTTATCAAAGACGATCTAAAATGCACTAAAGAAAGAAAATAATTTAAAATTTCTTAAATTACGTTCAGGAAATATTCTAAAAATTAAAAAAAAAGATTAACATATGTAATTGTTGTCTACATTAAATTCGAATCACTTGGCTACACAGAATGCTCATCTACACATCCGCTACACTGTCTTTCTATTGTTGTTAATGAAAAAACAACATACAAAACAAACAAAGATTATTCAAAAAATGTTCAGTAAGTGTAAACCATTGTGCAATATGCGAACTGCTCACTTGTCTCACATAACGACATTATCTAACTTTTCCCAGATTTGAATATATATATAATCTGTCCGTGATTGTGAGTTCGACTAAACTTTCTCCGATATGAAGACCTACTAATCTGTCAGGTATGGAGATGATCTAATCTTCCTCATGTATGTAGATTATCTAACCTTTCTCAGCAGGTATGTAGATTATCTAACCTGTCTCAGGTACATGGGCGCCCGCAGGCACTTGCCCCCCCCCCCCCCCCCCCGGNTAGACAAAAAATTTATTAAAGTGAAGAGAAAATAAAGAGAAATTAACTAAGCTGATGTCCTGTCCGTTCGTTCACCATACAAATAAGCTACAGTAAATTAAAACTACATTAAAACATTACTAAAAATTTTTTTCCCTCCCCCTAGAAAGTTAATCGATTTTTTGCCCCCCCCCCTCCTCCCTAGAAAGTTTTCTGCGGGCGCCCATGCTCAGGTATGTGGATTATATAACCTGTCACAGGTATGGAGATTACCTCACATGCCCCAGGTATGGAGATTATCTTACCTGTCTCAGGTATGGAGATTATCTAACCTGTCTCAGGTACAGAGATAACTTAACATGGCTCAGATATCTGTTTTGATTACCCTGTATTAGATATTGAAAAAGACTCACCTGCACTGGGGCAGGTCGTATTCGTTGAGAAAGCACTCTGCATTTTGTGAACACGTATAGTCAACACATTTATGGACGCACTTCTTGAGGTCTGCTCGGCACGTGTAACCAGGATCACATATGCCTACAGCCCTGCAGCTGTCGTTCAGAATCTCACTGATAGTACTGGCAGCTGTGGACCAAAGACAGCATTTGGGATAGCAGAAAAATAGACCGAAATTATATACAGGAGTGCCGCTGTAACATTTATTTATGTAATTAACTGTATTTTAACGCGCTGTTTAGATCAAAATGAAACATTATCTTCTTCATGAATATATACTGCAGAAAAGTCAGCAAAGAAAAGAAAATGAATCCACAGGGGCTTAAAAAGTTTGGACTCGAAACTATAACACTGTCACTCGGGTAGCGTGTAAGCGTGTAACATGCAATGATTTAAGTGGATTGGAGGGGTAGTAAGGGTAGATAGGGACAAATCGATTTCAATTACAGTACCACACAAAGCAAGAACATTGGAAGTTAAACTTTCTCATGTTATAGTCGAAAAACATGGGCGAGAAACAGGAAAATCGAAATGAAATTTTGTGGATTTTAGTTTTCGATGAACGTGAAAGAAGCCACCTCAGTAGATATCTCTGTTGACGTCTGTGGTCGATGTACAATCATTGTGCAGCGGTGTAGTTAAGTGGGGAATGATCTACACATTTTAAAGGTAAGAACAAAGACAAACCGCTGGGGAAATTGGGATATAAAGATTTAAATAAGTCAACATGTTTAATCTGCCTTCTGTTACTTCTAATGAGCAATATATTTCACTATTCATACTTCTACTGCAATTATTTGAATATTTCGTTAATATTCTTTCAACATTGGCTGATGCATTTAATTTTTTTTTCCGTAATCGTCCTGATGATTTCAGTTTCTCTATCGTAGCACAACGAAATTGAATGGACTTACCCATCCTCATCTGTAACGGGTAGTTGTAAGCTAAGTATTCAGAGTCTACATTGGGTAGTTGTGACAGCGGAGCTTGTGAGCTCTTCAGCATTTCTGTGACATTGTCGTTTGAGCTGAGGCTGAACTGCGTAGTGTATAGGACAATGATGCTTCCTGGCCTGTTGAGGTACCATAACGGTAAGAGATGCCATAAGGTTGATGCAAAAGTTCAGTGACAACACAAGTAAAACACGGCCGCCAGCCGCTTCATGGGTTTCTATTAAATTAACAAATAACTGAATGTTGACAGATAATTTAAGCAGATAATATTTACTCCGGTAAAAACAACGATGTGCTTTTCTGTACTTCTCTTCTTATCTTGTTTCATCCTAGCAATAAATACTCAATAAGTATATAGATAATACGGCTACCCAGAATGTAAAAATTGTGTTGCTTTGATATACGGCAATGTAAAAGCATTCTATCTCGGAGCATGTCCCTTAAACTTTCACAGCTATACAGAGGAAAGTGTCAGCTAAGTGTCCATCTGTTACAGCATTCTATCTCGGAGCATGTCACTTAAACTTTCACAGCTATACAGAGGAAAGTGTCAGCTAAGCGTCCATCTGTTACAGCATTCTATCTCGGAGCATGTCACTTAAACTTTCACAGCTATACAGAGGAAAGTGTCAGCTAAGCGTCCATCTGTTACAGCATTCTATCTCGGAGCATGTCACTTAAACTTTCAACTTAAACTTTCACAGCTATACAGAGGAAAGTGTCAGCTAAGCGTCCACCTGTTACAGCATTCTATCTCGGAGCATGTCACTTAAACTTTCACAGCTATACAGAGGAAAGTGTCAGCTAAGCGTCCACCTGTTACAGCATTCTATCTCGGAGCATGTCACTTAAACTTTCACAGCTATACAGAGGAAAGTGTCAGCTAAGCGTCCACCTGTTACAGCATTCTATCTCGGAGCATGTCACTTAAACTTTCACAGCTATACAGAGGAAAGTGTCAGCTAAGCGTCCATCTGTTAAATTCTGCCTGGTAATGAAGCGAAAGGTGGCCAATGTTCAGTGCCAGAATTTCCACGCCTCATTAAAGTTCTCTGACATCCTCGACGTGAGGGAAACGCTCACATCTTCTTCTAGGCCCGATTTTTTAGGACTACCACAATAATAACAAATCTTGACCGAGGACGCGGTGACGTAGGAAGGTAGGGGGTGGTACGCCCCGGGTGGTTTCTTTGTATACGTAAGGGCGGCATTTTAAGCCAAGCGATGCGTTTTTTCCATGGTATAGGCTGGAAAATAACTTGCACTAACACAAGCTACGCCCATGAGGAAAACGTACACTCTAGATGGCTGGCTATCTGGTAGGTTACACAGTAAGCTACTTCAAATTATGCTACCAACACACTCTTGTATGCGAGTTGTTTTAGTAAATTTCCACGACTTATCCCAAATTTAAACCCGAGCCCTACCATATTCAAATGATATATCATCCATCCGCTACATCAAATGTCTCAACATTCTCCTCAGGCCCCTCCCCCTTCCTTTCCTACGTATCGGTGGTTCGTTGCACACACGGCCACCAGATGAGTATCTCTTCATACACTGTGGCTGGCAGGGGTAACCCCAAACACGGTAATTGAAATACATTTCGCAACAGTCACCAGATGCAGGCTTCTTGGTTGGATGAACAGTTGATCCCAAATGTTACGAACTACACCCTGAATAAGTTCTTCAATAGCTTCGTTTAATCTACGGGTTTATTAGTAACGACACCAAGGTCAATATTTGAACTGGTTCTTTATTGCAAAATAAACTGCACAGCGTGCCTGCTTCCTTCCATTATCTCTCCTCAACTCACTATCAAAACCATAACAACCAACAACGTCATCACTCGTACCCAAAAACGTCACTAATACAAAGCACGTAGCAAAAGCTACAGAATTAATCTCCACACACGCGTTCATTACACAAATCGTTAACAATTCCATTGAGCTAACAACTTACACGAGGTCAACAATATCAATTTGTTTGAAACTCGGGATCTGTTGGTAAACTGGAGTCAGCTGAAACAAGAAGAGGGAAACATTATTGCATTAGTCATCATGTCGGAGACTGGATAAACTAAGTCATTCGTCATGTTGGAGACTGAACAAAATTAAGTCATTTGTCATGTTGGAGACTGAACAAAATTAAGTCAGTTGTCATGTTGGAAACTGAACAAAATTAAGTCATTTGTCATGTTGGAGACTGAAAAAAATTAAGTCATTTGTCAGGTTGAAAACTGAACAAAATTAAGTCAGTTGTCATGTTGGAAACTGAACAAAATTAAGTCATTTGTCATGTTGGAGACTGAACAAAATTAAGTCATTTGTCATGTTGGAGACTGAACAAAATTAAGTCAGTTGTCATGTTGGAAACTGAACAAAATTAAGTCATTTGTCATGTTGGAGACTGAACAAAATTAAGTCATTTGTCAGGTTGAAAACTGAACAACAGTAAGTCATTTATCATTTTGGAGACTGAACAAAAATATGTCATTTGTCATATTGGAGACTGAACAAAATTAAGTAATTTGTCATGTTGGAAACTGAACAAAATTAAGTCATTTATCATTTTGGAGACTGAACAAAAATATGTCATTTGTCATGTTGGAGACTGAACAAAATTAAGTCATTTGTCATGTTGAAAACTGAACAACATTAAGTCATTAATCATTTTGGAGACTGAACAAAAATATGTCATTTGTCATGTTGGAAACTGAACAAAATTAAGTAATTCGTCACGTTGGAAACTGAACAAAATTAAGTCATTTGTTATGTTTGAGACTGAACAAAATTAAGTCATTTGTCATGTTGGAAACTGAACAAAATTAAGTCATTTGTCATGTTGGAAACTAAACAAAATTAAGTCATTTGTCATGTTGGAAACTGAACAACATTAAGTCATTTGTCATGTTGGAGACTGAACAAAATTAAGTCATTTGTCATGTTGGAGACTGAACAAAATTAAGTCATTTGTCATGTTGGAGACTGAACAAAATTAAGTCATTTGTCATGTTGGAGACTGAACAAAATTAAGTCATTTGTCATGTTGGAGACTGAACAAAATTAAGTCATTTGTCATGTTGGAGACTGAACAAAATTAAGTCATTTGTCATGTTGGAGACTGAACAAAATTAAGTCATTTGTCATGTTGGAGACTGAACAAAATTAAGTCATTTGTCATGTTGGCGACTCAAAAGAAAAAAAAAATGAAATTAAATAAAGAGCGTATCGCGTCAAGACTGAAACTAAAAGAAAATAATAATTAAAAATCACTATCATGTGATAGACCGAACATTGGGATAGCCAACCTCGGCGGGCCAAAAGTGTTTGTGCCCCCTTCCATGGAAAAACGTACGTTAGGCCAAAATGCCACCCTCTTAAAGATAGAAGAAGTGCCACGCCGCCTGTTGCGGACCACCTCCTTCGAACTACCTTCAGACGCCACTGACACGGAACAAAATAAAAAGGAACTCATGATTTACGGGACCGACCAAGTTAAAATGATAGTCAGGCCTAGGGCAGTCTCTACATTCCTTTAGGTGATAACCGCTCTTTAAAATGAACAGATCTATTGTTTCATCAAGAAAAATATTATTTAAAAGAAGGATAAAATACAATTTAAAAAAAAATATAAACAAATAATTAACCTTAAATTTTAGGCTTTAATTTGCTTAACGAACCCACGGCCTACATTCCCAACTTCGTTGCTGTCCCAAGAATTGTCTTAAAGCCTCACCCTAAGAATTTAAGTCATACCTTCCACGCTTTGAAATTATCTACAAAATTTAAGCTAGAGACTATCTCCTAAAATTTAAGCTAAAGCCACAGTTTAATTTTGTTTCGGGTATGGAGAAAGCTGGCCGAGTTATCTTCTTCTAGATGGCATGACCCCAAAACTGACACTCCCCTACCTTTTCCCAGAGTTTTAGCAACTTTTCCCCATCATCCAACAGTGGCGTCACTTGGGTGGGTGCATCCATAACGGGTGTCTGCCCTTTGACATTTCCAACATGAGCCTCCTCCAAGTCCGCCTGCTCAAGTGGCACCCGCCTCTGGTGACGACCTGACAGGTTAAACCCTGCTTTGATGAGTCGCTACTCTGTTGACATCCCGCTGGCGCGACATCCTACTCTTGTTTCACCCGGTTCTTGTTGCAACCTTCTTTGGTTGCAACCTGTTCTGGTAGAGACGTGATTTGATGCAACCTACTCTAGCGGCACTCTATTCTTGTGTTCGCAAAGCAGTATTATTTTAAAAATAGTAGTTTGTCAAGTGGGGGTATCACCGGTCTGAACACCCGTAGTTACGCTACTGCATGTCATTGCTGCTAAATTCACTCACCATAGCTGTAAAATTCTGTGCCGTATTCTTGTACTGAGCTGACTGGGGATCATTTAGGTCGTCAACAAATGTCATGTTAAATTTCAGCGTAAAGTCCAGGTTGAAGAAACTTTTGGCTGCATATCATGTTTAAAAAAACAAGTTTTTAAAACTATATTAAATGGGAAAAACAGACACAAATCGTGAATACAGATACGTAAAGGAAGCATGTTTCCAACATCTGCATTCATCATAATTTATTGGCTAGCAGATTTAAAAAAATATGTATGTGCTCCCTTTAAAAACTTTTTACTGTACTTTCGTCTGTGTGTCCATTTTGTTGTTGTTGGTATAAAACAACTTATCATGACACGTAATTCCGGTATCACGTATAAGATTATTTTCTTTCAACACAAAATTTAAATTCATCTTCACATAAAGGTTCTTACCGTCATTAAAGGATTTAAAATCAAGTGGAATATCAGTACTGGAATCTGGGGTTGAATTCAAAGCAGATGGTGTAGTTGCAGTAGTTGTAAGAGTCGTCATTGCAGTAACGGTTGTAGTTGTTGTTGTGGGAGAAGTTGTTGTAGGAGTAGTTGTAGGTGTATTTGTTGTTGAAGTAGTTGTTGTAGGAGTAGTTGTTGTAGGAGTAGTTGTTGTGGGAGTAGTTGTTGTTGGATTAAGTGTTGTAGGAGTAGTTGTTGTGGGATTAGTTGTTGTAGGAGTAGTTGTTGTGGGAGTAGTTGTTGTGGGATTAGTTGTTGTAGGAGTAGTTGTTGTGGGAGTAGTTGTTGTAGGAGTAGTTGTTGTAGGAGTAGTTGTTGTAGGAGTAGTTGTTGTGGGAGAAGTTGTTGTGGGATTAGTTGTTGTAGGAGTAGTTGTTGTGGGATTAGTTGTTGTGGGATTAGTTGTTGTAGGAGTAGTTGTTGTGGGATTAGTTGTTGTGGGAGTAGTTGTTGTAGGAGTAGTTGTTGTGGGATTAATTGTTGTAGGAGTAGTTGTTGTAGGAGTAGTTGTTGTGGGAGTAGTTGTTGTGGGATAAGTTGTTGTAGGAGTAGCTGTTGTGGGAGTAGTTGTTGTAGGAGTAGTTGTTGTGGGAGTAGTTGTTGTGGGAGTAGTTGTTGTGGGAGTAATTGTGGGATTAGTTGTTGTGGGAGTAGTTGTTGTGGGATTAGTTGTTGTAGGAGTAGTTGTTGTGGGATTAGTTGTTGTAGGAGTAGTTGTTGTGGGAGTAGTTGTTGTGGGATTAGTTGTTGTAGGAGTAGTTGTTGTAGGAGTAGTTGTTGTGGGATTAGTTGTTGTAGGAGTAGTTGTTGTGGGAGTAGTTGTTGTGGGATTAGTTGTTGTAGGAGTAGTTGTTGTAGGAGTAGTTGTTGTGGAATTAGTTGTTGTAGGAGTAGTTGTTGTGGGAGTAGTTGTTGTGGGAGTAGTTGTTGTGGGAGTAGTTGTTGTGGGATTAGTTGTTGTAGGAGTAGTTGTTGTAGGAGTAGTTGTTGTGGAATTAGTTGTTGTAGGAGTAGTTGTTGTGGGAGTAGTTGTTGTGGGATTAGTTGTTGTGGGATTAGTTGTTGTAGGAGTAGTTGTTGTAGGAGTAGTTGTTGTAGGAGTAGTTGTTGTGGGAGTAGTTGTTGTAGGAGTAGTTGTTGTAGGATTAGTTGTTGTGGGAGTAGTTGTTGTGGGATTAGTTGTTGTGGGAGTTGTTGTTTTGGAATTATTTGTTGTAGGAGTAGTTGTTGTAGGAGTAGTTGTTGTAGGAGTAGTTGTTGTAGGAGTTGTTGTTGTGGGATTACTTGTTGTAGTTGTAGTTGTTGTAGGGGTAGTTGTTGTAGGAGTAGTTGTTGTAGGAGTAGTTGTTACAGGAGTAGTTGTTGTAGGAGTAGTTGTTGTAGGAGTAGTTGTTACAGGAGTAGTTGTTGTAGGAGTAGTTGTTGTAGGAGTAGTTGTTGTAGGAGTAGTTGTTGTAGGAGTAGTTGTTGTAGGAGTAGTTGTTGTAGGAGTAGTTGTTGTAGGAGTAGTTGTTGTAGGAGTAGTTGTTGTAGGAGTAGTTGTTGTAGGAGTAGTTGTTGTAGGAGTAGTTGTTGTAGGAGTAGTTGTTGTAGGAGTAGTTGTTGTAGGAGTAGTTGTTGTAGGAGTAGTTGTTGTAGGAGTAGTTGTTGTAGGAGTAGTTGTTGTAGGAGTAGTTGTTGTAGGAGTAGTTGTTGTAGGAGTAGTTGTTGTAGGAGTAGTTGTTGTAGGAGTAGTTGTTGTAGGAGTAGTTGTTGTAGGAGTAGTTGTTGTAGGAGTAGTTGTTGTAGGAGTAGTTGTTGTAGGAGTAGTTGTTGTAGGAGTAGTTGTTGTAGGAGTAGTTGTTGTAGGAGTAGTTGTTGTAGGAGTAGTTGTTGTAGGAGTAGTTGTTGTAGGAGTAGTTGTTGTAGGAGTAGTTGTTGTAGGAGTAGTTGTTGTAGGAGTAGTTGTTGTAGGAGTAGTTGTTGTAGGAGTAGTTGTTGTAGGAGTAGTTGTTGTAGGAGTAGTTGTTGTAGGAGTAGTTGTTGTAGGAGTAGTTGTTGTAGGAGTAGTTGTTGTAGGAGTAGTTGTTGTAGGAGTAGTTGTTGTAGGAGTAGTTGTTGTAGGAGTAGTTGTTGTAGGAGTAGTTGTTGTAGGAGTAGTTGTTACAGGAGTAGTTGTTGTAGGAGTAGTTTTTGTAGGAGTAGTTGTTACAGGAGTAGTTGTTGTAGGAGTAGTTGTTGTAGGAGTAGTTGCTGTAGGAGTAGTTGTTTTAGGAGTAGTTGTTGTAGGAGTAGTTGTTATAGGAGAAGTTGTTACAGGAGTAGTTGTTGTAGGAATAGTTGTTGTAGGAGTAGTTGTTGTAGCAGTAGTTGTTTTAGGAGTAGTTGTTGTAGAAGTAGTTGTTGTAGGTGTAAGTGTTGTAGGAGTAGTTGTTACAGGAGTAGTTGTTGTAGGAGTAGTTCTTGTAGGAGTAGTTGTTGTAGGAGTAAGTGTTGCAGGAGTAGTTGTTAGAGGAGTAGTTGTTGTGGGAGTAGTTGTTGTAGGAGTAGTTTTTGTAGGAGTAGTTATTGTAGGATTACTTGTTGTAGGAGTAGTTTTTGTAGGGTTAGTTGTTACAGGAGTAGTTGTTGTAGGAGTAGTTGTTGTAGGAGTAGTTGTTGTAGGAGTAGTTTTTGTAGGAGTTGTTGTTTTAGAATTATTTGTTGTAGGAGTAGTTGTTGTAGGAGTAGTTGTTGTAGGAGTTGTTGTTTTGGAATTATTTGTTGTAGGAGTAGTTGTTGTAGGAGTAGTTGTTGTAGGAGTAGTTGTTGTAGGAGTTGTTGTTGTGGGATTACTTGTTGTAGTTGTAGTTGTTGTGGGAGTAGTTGTTGTAGGAGTAGTTGTTGTAGGAGTAGTTGTTACAGGAGTAGTTGTTACAGGAGTAGTTTTTGTAGGAGAAGGTTTTGTAGGAGTAGTTGTTGTAGGAGTAGTTGTTATAGGAGTAGTTGTTGTAGGAGTAGTTGTTGTAGGAGTAGTTGTTGTAGGAGTAGTTGTTGTAGGAGTAGTTGTTGTAGGAGTAGTTGTTACAGGAGTAGTTGTTTTAGGATTAATTGTTGTAGGAGTAGTTATTGTGGGAGTAGTTGTTGTGGGAGTAGTCGTTGTAGGAGTAGTTGTTGTGGGAGTAGTTGTTATAGGAGTAGGTGTTGTAGGAGTAGTTGTTGTAGGAGTAGTTGTTACAGGAGTAGTTGTTTTAGGAGTAATTGTTGTAGGAGTAGTTATTGTGGGAGTAGTTGTTGTGGGAGTAGTCGTTGTAGGAGTAGTTGTTGTGGGAGTAGTTGTTATAGGAGTAGTTGTTGTAGGAGTAGTTGTTGTAGGAGTAGTTGTTGTAGGAGTAGTTCTTGTAGGAGTTGTTGTTGTAGGGTTAGTTGTTACAGGAGTAGTTGTTGTAGGAGTAGTTGTTGTAGGAGTAGTTGTTGTAGGAGTTGTTGTTTTGGAATTATTTGTTGTAGGAGTAGTTGTTGTAGGAGTAGTTGTTGTACTAATTGTTGTTTTGGAATTATTTGTTGTAGGAGTAGTTGTTGTAGGAGTATTTGTTGTGGGAGTAGTTGTTGTAGGAGTAGTTGTTGTAGGAGTAGTTGTTGTAGGAGTAGTTGTTGTAGGAGTAGTTGTTGTAGGAGTAGTTGTTGTAGGAGTAGTTGTTGTGGGAGTAGTTGTTGTGGGATTACTTGTTGTAGTTGTAGTTGTTGTAGGAGTAGTTGTTGTAGGAGTAGTATTTGTAGGAGTAGTTGTTGTAGGAGTAGTTGTTACAGGAGTAGTTGTTGTAGGAGTAGTTGTTGTAGGAGTAGTTGGTTTAGGAGTAGTTGTTTTAGGAGTAGTTGTTGCAGGAGTAGTTGTTGTGGGAGTAGTTGTTGTAGGAGTAGTTATTGTAGGATTACTTGTTGTAGAAGTAGTTGTTGTAGGGTTAGTTGTTACAGGAGTAGTTGTTGTAGGAGTAGTTGATGTAGGAGTAGTTGTTGTAGAAGTAGTTGTTGTAGGAGTAGTTGTTGTAGGAGTTGTTGTTTTGGAATAATTTGTTGTAGGAGTAGTTGTTGTAGGAGTAGTTGTTGTAGGAGTTGTTGTTTTGGAATTATTTGTTGTAGGAGTAGTTGTTGTAGGAGTAGTTGTTGTAGGAGTAGTTGTTGTGGGAGTAGTAGTTGTAGGAGTAGTTGTTGTAGAAGTAATTGTTGTAGGAGTAGTTTTTGTAGGAGTAGTTATTGTAGGATTACTTGTTGTAGGAGTAGTTGTTGTAGGGTTAGTTGTTACAGGAGTGGTTGTTGTAGGAGTAGTTGTTGTAGGAGTAGTTGTTGTAGGAGTTTTTGTTTTGGAATTATTTGTTGTAGGAGTAGTTGTTGTAGGAGTAGTTGTTGTACTAATTGTTGTTTTGGAATTATTTGTTGTAGGAGTAGTTGTTGTAGGAGTATTTGTTGTGGGAGTAGTTGTTGTAGGAGTAGTTGTTGTAGGAGTAGTTGTTGTAGGAGTAGTTTTTGTAGGAGTAGTTGTTGTAGGAGTAGTTGTTGTAGGAGTAGTTGTTGTAGGAGTAGTTGTTGTAGGAGTAGTTGTTGTAAGAGTAGTTGTTGTAGGAGTTGTTGTTGTGGGAGTTGTTGTTGTGGGATTACTTGTTGTAGTTGTAGTTGTTGTAGGAGTAGTTATTGTAGGAGTAGTTGTTGTAGGAGTAGTTGTTACAGGAGTAGTTGTTGTAGGAGTAGTTTTTGTAGGAGTAGTTGTTGTAGGAGTTGTTGTTGTGGGAGTTGTTATTGTGGGAGTAGTTGTTGTAGGAGTAGTTTTTATGGGATTATTTGTTGTAGGAGTAGTTGTTGTAGGAGTAGTTGTTGTAGGAGTTGTTGTTACAGGAGTAGTTGTTGTAGGAGTAGTTGTTGTAAGAGTAGTTGTTGTATGAGTAGTTGTTGTAGAAGTAGTTTTTGTGGGAGTAGTTGTTGTAGGAGTTGTTGTTACAGGAGTAGTTGTTGTAGGAGTAGTTGTTGTAGGAGTAGTTGTTGCAGGAGTAGTTTTTGTAGGAGTAGTTGTTGTAGGAGTAGTTGTTGTAGGAGTAGT